CTAGAATGTGTTAGACAATTTTAGATGACTGAAAATGTAAAAAGGTCACATATTTGTTTATGGTTTTAGTATTCACAGTTAAAATATATGGGGGTTGTAAAGATTATTAAGTTTTTAATTGAGATTATGAATCAATTAGTGTTAGACCACTATGGGAAACCTGGAAGCACTGGAAGGGCGTCTCGTCCCAGTACGAAACTCTTCACCAGTGCTCATTCGCCATCCCACTCGTGGCATTCGAACCCCAAAGCCTTCGGTCTCGCGCGCTAATGCTTAAGCTCTAGATGATCGAGCAGGCATCCGAGGGTGTTTATGTCTAATTTCAATCAATCTACGATATTGTATAACCATTTTCTATTGTCTTTGGCGAGTAACTGCCTCACAACAGACACGGATTTGACTCCACTGGGGACTGCTTCCCACTAGGAACTCCAAGAAATCCATCTTGAAGTTAGTCACTAGTTAGCACATGATAATTACCAGTATATGGATTTGTGGAGATTGTAGTATTTTCATAGTTGATTTCATGAACCAACGTTAACAGATTACAATAATTCTATTAGGAAAAGTAATTTGAAAATCATGAAAGTATTACAGTATGATTCTTAACTTAACTCAGCATTATTTTAATAACAGTAATAAGTTTTTGAAATAGAATAAAATAAATGAATTTCTTAATTGATGTTGATGATAAATATAGAATGATCGTCAGTTACATGTTAACAGTTCAGGAATAAGCATCTGAATAATGTACATTCTTTTCAATGTATATTACCTGCTATCCACCATGATGTCTCTAATTGGGCTCTTTTGTAACGTAGATGGTGGTTGGAAGTAGTAATAGGAAACCCTGAACCTAGGTTTTGTGTCACATGGCACTACTCAGCAAAGTATACCTATACCCTTGGGGGACTGATGTTCCCTGACGGAGTCGACCGCGTGTCATCCAGCTTCACAGTCAGAGAGGTTACCACTGAGCCATTCGAACCGCGATTGACATCCTTTAGGATTGAAATGTATTCACAATTGATTGATCACTGGGTAATGATCAATATCATGTATTTCAAGTCCTTCTTAATGCAGATCGAATGCTATCAATCAAACTGTAATGTAACTTGTAACTTGTACAACGAAAGGTTGTACACTTTTCAGAAATGAACCTGAATAAGTTGTGCGATGAATAGATATAATTATATGTTAAAACAAACAAACAAATAACAAACAGGTAACTTTTTAAAATATCTAGATGGTAAGGAACATATTACGGCGAGAAATGAAGACAGACATGATAAGAATGAGCAAAAATTGGACAAAACTGGAAAGGAAGGCCCAAGATAGAGCGAGTTGGAGAATGCTGACCGGCGGCCTATCCTCCATTAGGAGTAACAGACGTATTGTAATTAAGTAAGGAACATGTAGCCTAGATATTCAAACAGGCCGCCAAGTTGTTTAAAACTGTTTAAAATATCATGATTATAACTTGGAATAGAATAGTAATAAAAATTTAGTTGTGAATTAGTGAGTTTTATTTTAAATTACAAAAAAGCAAAAACAAAAAAACAACAACAGAGAAACGAAAAATTTTTCTTTGCAAAAAAACTATTATCATTAGAGCATGGTTACTAAGAGAACAATGTTTCCCCCTCTCTCTCTCTCTTTCTCCTTGGCTCCTTCGCTAACAACTCATCATCATAGTATGAGAGAAAGAAAGAATGGTTGGATAGATGGGTGGATGGACGGATAGGTGATGTGAAAGTTATTCGTTAATATAAGAGGATAAAGTGTAATTTGATGGAGACATTTCTCAAAAAAAGCAAAAAAGGGAACAAAAAAACACAAAAAAAAACGAAAAAACAGATTTCACAATTTTCAATTCGTCAACATTAGTTAACTGAACTATTTTTCTTATCGTTTTCTAGTTTTGATGATAAATGTTTATTCAATTATCAATACATGGGATCTTTTCATTCGAGACAAGTTTCTCCCCCTTTCTCTGTCTCTGTCTCTGTCTCTCTTTCTAGTAAAGAAAAAAAGGAGAAAAAAAGAGAGAAAATGTTGTACAGAAGAGAAGAAGTAATTATGATGTTTCACTCATTATTTGAATGTTATTACTATAATTTAGTGTTATGAATGAGAACTTAGATGGGGATAACTAATTTATTGTTGAATAGGAAGTGATAAAGTTGGTGCCTCTTCCAGCCTAGTAGGTCCTTGTTATGAGAAACATGCCACAACTACTGGGGCTAGAATAGATGTTTTGTGCAATCAGTTGGAGTTTGCCCAACCCCGTACATACCATACACCACTTTTATGAATTTTTTTTGTCATTCTGCAATCTAGGAGTAATTGTGCTGTGATTCTTCGTGGGTTTCGTAATCAGTTTGTGAGTATCGGTCGAGAGATTGATTAACCCGATCTCTACCACCCGGGTTACTGTTTACGTTAGTTCATGGGACTGAGTTTCACTATCCAGGAGGCACGACGAGGACGTGTGAATCAGGTTGCTTTGTAAAAATGTGAAAATCATACATTGAATACTTCATTTGTAAACCTTCTGTCAATTGTCCTTTACATTCTTCAGGATTCTTCCAATTCTCAATTTCTTTTTGCTTTCTTCAGTTCAATCTCTCTTTGATTGACATTCCACTTCTGATTGATGTCATATACTACTTATGTTTGTCGGTATGAGTAGCATACATCATACTCGTCCCTCCTTTGAAATGGTCACTCTTGCAGTTGTTCTACTCACCGTTCAACTTTTTTTGTTACCATAGTCTGTGCCACGGCCCCCGTCACAATGTTGAGTCCGCTGTCGCTCTGACATCCTTAACAATGTTGATTTGTCAGGTCCTCTACATTCAATTTTTGTCGACATAAGTAGCATTTACCAAAATAGAAATATTTAATTATAATTTGAATAATGGATAGATAATACTCACTCACTTACACCTGTTACCCCTTGTGGAGAATAATAGGTCATCTATCAGCATTCTCCATCCAACTATGTCCTCGACAATCCTTTCCACTTGTTTCTAGTTACTATTCATCTTTTTCATGTCTACCTCCTATTCTCGATACAGTGTGTTCTTCAGTCTTCCACTTTTTCGTTTTCCTTCACGATTCCAAGTTAACACTTGTTTCATGATGCAGTTTCATGATTTCTGTGATGTATGTCCCATCCACCTAGAATGTCTTAACCTGATTTCTTCTTTAGTTGAAAATTGGTTTATTATGTCTCACAGTAAATTGTTACTAATGGTATTCGGTCAACGACCATTGAATATCTTGTGTAGACGATTGTTTATGAATAATTGTATCTTTTTTAACGATGGCAGGTAGGTAATAGTTATTTACAAATAAATCTGGAAACAATTTTGTAAAGTAAGTTCATCTATCCATTCTATTTAATAAGTGTATGGGTATTTATCCATTAGCCTCCAAATGCACTGGTATAGCCGAAAGTTGGGAGAGTTTTCTCTCTCGCTCGGAATGCCACGCGTATGTAAACTCTCCTAGGGAAAACCTACTCACTGCCTTCTCATACAACGGATGTTGTTTACGAAATTGAGAGGATGAAAAGCGAATGTTCGGCGCTTTGTCCGGGTTGTTGGACACGGAGGATACACCTAGGGGAGTTGTAAAACCCTGATTCCAAATCAATTGTGAATATGGGTTCCAGGATCCTAAGGAAACAAATGGCGTATGAGCCAATTGTTGATCACCGGCTAACCTGGGACTACATCTCTTGACGTTGTTCCACTGCCTTGTGGATCAGACCTTTAAGTCGAAGGCTCTGGGTGTGGCACCCTAAGAAAACCACCGAGTTCGGTCTGGTCACCTGAGCAGTAGTATCATAGCCCATACAAATCAAGTGATTGGAAGGTGCATATGTAATCGGTGCCCTTTTGTGTCAATATGTATGTGTTCAAATAAATAAATAAATAAATTTTCCCATTCACTTAATGGATAAATGCTGTAAATAGAAATATGAGTGTAATTTTCATTGGATATATCATTTCAACACATTTCGATTGATTTAGATCTGTCGATTATGAATATCAGTATTAGTATATTCCATCATACCGGATGAAAAACACACAGATACAATGAATGTTAGAGATGTAAATAAAATATTCTATAGAAACTATACCAAAGAACACATTGTGTCAGGAATTGAAAGCAGACATGGAAAGGATGAATAGCAAATGGAAAGAAGTGGAAAGGATTATCGAGGACAGAGTGGGAAGAAATGCGCTGTTAGTCGTCTTATGCTCCTCGACGAGGGGTGACAGGCGTAAGTAAGTAAGTAAGTCAATTAGATGAATAACTTCAAACCTATTTGAAGTAATCTTAGATCAACCTATTCTTATGAATACATTGTTGCTAATTATAATCTATTTAAGTTATTTCTTTCATATATATTTATTCATATCGACTATTATACTTATCATGTTATTATGAAACAGTAGAGGAAGTAGAATGCTGCATTAATTAATTCAATAATTATCAAGGTAACAATTGTGTTCATTTGAACAATGTATGTATATACGAGTGATTATGCAATAGATTATGCATATGTACTATTACATAACAATAGTACAGTAATTTATATGACTATTTAAATAACAAAGAGTTAAAACAAATAACCGAATGACATAAAGTAATTCTTTCTTCTTATAGCATTCACAATGTAGGCGAAAACATAAATGGGGTAAGGAAACTAATGCATTTCAATGAAAAAATTACATTACAATCTAAAATATATTGAATACTTCATTTAAGAATTTCCATTACATGGCTTTCATATTCTGTATGGTTCTTCCTATTGACAATTCCTTTCTATTTCCCTTTCTATGATCTTCAAATTGATCTTCTTAGCTTTCTGCTGTCAGGTTTTCGATTTGCGATTGGTATTATATATTACTTATGTCAGTCGATATATGTAGCATACACACACATTTGTGATTGAGTGATAGTGTTTTGCCGAAAGATGAACACAGATGCACAAAACATCATCATCATCATCATCATCATCATCATCATCATCATCATCATCATCATCATCATCATCATCATCATCATCATCATCATCATCATCATCATCATCATCATCATCATCATCATCATCATCATCATCATCATCATCATCATCATCATCATCATCATCATCATCATCATCATCATCATCATCATCATCATCATCATCATCATCATCATCATCATCATCATCATCATCATCATCATCATCATCATCATTATTATTATTATTATTATTATTATTATTATTATTATTATTATTATTATTATTATTATTATTATTATTATTATAATATTAGTGCAGTAATCATATGCCCGATGACATGTAGCTTTAAAAATATCGTCTAGATTTGTGGTGTTACATCAATCATTTTATTATAGAGTGTTGTGTTGATTGTTGAACTTAAATGTTTACATAATAGACCAACTTTAGTTAGAAAACTGGTGGAAATCTGAAAAATATTGGATCTCTGTTTTGTTCAACTATGGGACTCTATTTTCATTCGGTGTTTACAATCCAGGACCTTCTGACTTTCCAATGAGCACATTGGTATGAAGGAAAAAAAGTCAATTTTCGATTGATTTACTCATTATGAGTTTAGTTCAAGATTACTTCCATTTTGATTCAATGGAATGATTACTCAATGTAGTATTTGTATTGATATTTTATTCTGTATAATATACGATATTCTTGTATTCGATTGATATAACCTATGCTCAGTATGTGATTTGTTATAACTTTAAGTATGTTCCATATCTATGATTACATTCTAATTATTAATCAAAATGGGTGAACAATCAATATATAAATGAGTGTATTTTCGATTAGGATCGTCGTCGTCGTCGTGTTTTCGGGGTTAATAAATCTTCACTTATACTAGTCTTTGTGTTCTTACTTTCGCGTCGTAGGAATTGCACAGGTCCCTCGTTCCGAGTGTAGGTGATAAGTGTTTCCGACATAACAATCAGCGATGATCAGATACAAAAAGTAGCATTAAAAGAGCCAAGACAATAAACATTCAAACTACAAGTTATAACACATCTGACTTTAGACGACTGAGAGTAGACTCAATGATTTACATTTCTTGTTCTGTATTCAATAATCGAAACATTCGTGAAACTTCAAACTGGATAATTTTCACAACACCATTTCATAACAGTCGTCAACGATTACCATACTAGGACGAGACGACTGTGCAGTGCTTTCAGGTTTTCAATGGTGGTCTAACGTTGATCCTTTCAACTCAATTATCTCCACAACTCTATGCTGATAATTATCATATGATCACTAGTGACTGGTTTCAGGATTAATTTACTGGAGTTCTAATGAGAAGCCATGACCAGTGGAGTCTAATCCATATCGTGTGTAAATCAGTTATTCAGCAAACACAATAGTGGACAGTCGCGTAATATCGTGGATTAGTTACAGTTAGACATTGACATCTTTGGATGCCTGCTCAATAGTCTAGATTCTGAGCGTTCTTGCACAATACCAGAGTTCCTGGCCTCGATTCTAGCGTGCTGGATCATCGATGCCCGCTTCTGAGGAGTCCCATATTAGGACGAAACGGCTATCCAGTAATCCCATATTTTCCATGGTGGTCTCGTTTAAATCGAATTATCAGTCCAACTATTAAATCATTTCAATAAATCAAAAATAAGCAAGAGAATTTAATTGTTTCTACAGAGATATTTGTCAAATACAAATTCTCACCCACGAATTTGTATGTTTTTTTTAAAAATTATTTCAATTTCTTATTTGTAATTAATTTAATGTGTGGTCATAAAATGATGATAAATTATTTTATGTTCAAACGATCTCTTCCAGATTTGAGGGTAAACATTTTCAGTTGGCCAATGATTCTGTAGATAAATTAGAACTATAGGAATCGACTATTCGGTTGTTGAAATGTGGACTCATCATTGCATTCCATAGTCCAGATAAGCATATTTATTAAAGATTATATGTTTTCAGAAGGTGTTTTGTGGAGATTTTTAGAACTTTCAATAGTTGAAATCATGAGTCAATTGAAGCTAGACCACCATGGAAAACCTCGAAGCACTGGACGGCCGTTTCGTCCTAGTATGGGACTCCTCAGCAGTGCGTATCCACGATCCTGCCTTCCGCGACATTCAAACCCAGGACCTATCGGTTTCGTGCGCGTGTCATAATGAAGTACTCACAAGAAAAATAAACTGGTTTGCATGACCATTTTATACGATTGTGGTAACTAAATGAAGATCATTTACAGTTAGGATTTAAGGTTAGCCTTTAGGATTTAATTGAAGGTTACATTAAGGGATTATGGTTAGGGTTAGTTCATTAAAACAAGAAAAATGATCTGTTTCTATATAAAAACACCCTTTAAAGAAGTTTTTTGACCGTTTGATGTGAAATCGTGAGAATCATCCATGCACGATATTTATAGGTTATCTATTGTCTTGTGAATCAATGATTTGTGGACTTTGTGTAGACTACCGCAATGATACTGTCTTTCGAATTAATATGTATTGGAGGAAGAAGTCTGTTAGAATAGGATTTTCTTCGATCGATCCAGACTGAGACTATGGCAAACTATGACAATTGTTGCGGACTGGACAAAAAAACAACAGTAACACTGGCTACAGCCGGGTACTACAATATATACAGATGATTGGAGAGCGTACAGATGCCTATATAGACTTGGTTATTTGCATCGTATCGTTATTCACAAGCTGCATTTTGTGGACCCAACAACCGGAGTGCACATAAACAGTCTTAAAACCATATAATCGAGGCTGAAAGAGTTTTGGCCATCTTATCGTGGATCCCGAGGCCGACCATTATGAAGCCATATGGAAGATTTCCTCTACTGTATGCGTTACGATTTTAGAACATATGAACCTTTTTCTAACCTTGACAAGTCTTTGAAGTGCGTACACATTAATTCCTTGGTATTGTGTTTTTACTCTATACCAAGTGTTTTTTGATTGGCTAATATTTCGCAAGGTCAATTAAGATTCATTCAAAGGTCGTCCATAAATTATAGTCTTGACGTTTTTCAGGAATTTTTCGACTATATCAGTGTCGTTGTTATAAATCGACAGGGCTCATGCACATTGGACGCAGTAATAGTTACGATTATACTATTGATAGTACATCTCTTCCACACGTTCAAGAACATAAAGACTTAGGAGTAATAATAAGTCATGACTTGAAAACAACTATGAATTGCAACGCAGCTGCTACCAGAGGTTATCGTGCATTATGGTCACTTCGCCGAGCATTCAAATGCTTTGACGAGGAAATTTTTCGAATTTTATATCCCACCTATGTAAGACCACATTTAGAGTACTGTATCCAAGCAGCTAGCGCATGTCTGATAAAGAATACTAACTCACTTGAACGTGTTCAATGTGTGTGAACAAAATTAGTGAACGGTCTTTCTAAATTCCCGTACGATGAGCGCTTAAAACGCCTAAACTTATTGCCCCTTGTCGTATCGTAGGACGAGAGGTGACCCTACACCGATGTTTCGCATCTTTAATTATAATTTGAGTGTTAATAGGTCTTATGTTTTGCTCCCTCCAGCACTAATAATCTCCGAGGTCATAGCAAGAAGGTTCATAAACCGCGATCTAATAAACTTAAAAAGGGATCTCATTTTTCTCGTCGAGTAGCCAATGACTGGAATGCCTTACCCGAACAAGTGGTATCAGCCCCATCAGTGAATATTTTCAAATAGAAGCTAGACCTTCACTAGAAGTCAATCTGTCAGGATTAACACAGGTTTACCAACCTTTTATCCTTATTACTGAAGACTGAAGTCATTGTATGCGGTTCTGAATTATGTTGGTTAATGTAGATTATGCGGTTGGAATCTATTTTATAATCATAATCATTGGTTAGAAAATTTCAGTGATATTGTTCAGAATCCTTCATCATGACACAAATGTATTCACTCTTTATCTTCTACATTTTCAATTCTATGATTCCTTCGTATAAACATTCTTTTCATTCGATCTTCTGCAATCATATAATGAATGCTTGATGTTTCTTGTTATCAATGCTACTGGATTATTTTGATTTCTCTATTTATTCATCTCATTGTGATGTTTTAGTATAGAAATTCGGGTTATCATATATTTTTAGGATGCTCTATTTCGATCATGACTGACTGATTAGCAGAAAATAATAATAATAAGCATCCTATTTCCTTGAGATCATGAATTGATATAAGTTAGATAGCCATTGAATATCTGGGAGCACTGGAGAGCTATTTTTCCTGCCATGGTACTTATCAGCAGTGTGATTACATCATGAGCAAGCAGGGATCGAACCCAAGGCGTTTGATTTCGCTTAACCTCGGTGTCACTGGGTTGGAATCTAATGGTGTTTAAGTTTAATTTGAATCAGTATACGATATTATGAGACTATTTTCCATTCTGGCCAGTAAGTACCTTCCTTAAAAATGACACTGTTGAACTTCAATGGTTACGGCTTCGTATTAGTGACTAGCTCCAAGAGAAAATTTCTAGAGCTCTGCTGAGAAGATGTGAAAAGTGGAAGTCAACTGAGTCGAGGAGTCTGAGGCAGTTACCCACTGAAGACAATGGAAGATGGTCACTCAATTTCGTGGATTGATTCAACTTACTTACTTACTTACTTACGCCTGTTACTCCCAATGGAGCATAGGCCGCTGACATTAATACTGTTGGGTGTTGGCTAAGTGGTCTGGAAGTTAAGTGTTGATTGAGATCATGAAGTGATCAATGCTGAACCAGAGCTGAAAATCTGGAAGCACTGGAATACCGGTTCGTCATAGTATGGAACTCCTCAAAAGTGCACATCCACGATCCTAGGTCAGGATGTTCGATCTGGCGCGTGAACGCCTAACCTCTAGACCAATGAGCCGGCATCCGAGGGTGTTAATGTCTAACTTCAACTATTCCGCGATACTATGCGAACATCTTCCATTGTCTTCTCTGGATAACTGCCTCACGCCCGACAAGGTTTAGACTCCACTGGCCACAGCTTCTCACTAGAACTCCAAGAATTATCTCTCAAATATATTTACTAGTGAACTCATGATAATTATCAGTATAGGGTTGTGAAGATTCATGATTTCAATCAAAACTCAACAATCTCCACAACCCTATACTTATAGATGAGTGAGACTGTACATCCTAGATTCTACTTCCGAATGAGAATTCATGTATTCGCATTACTGAATAGTTCCATACTAAGATGAAATGGCATTTCAATGCTTCCAGATTTTCAATAGTGGTCTAACTTAGATCGGTTCATATTTCA